CCCCAAAACCCCAAAACCCCAAAACCCCTCAGAAGTGGTGTAAGATTGAATCTGGACTTAGTCATAATAAATTTGGGTCATAATCTTCCTTTTATTTACATTCTACACTCTGGTTATCCACAAAATTACCAATTTGTTGTACTGTTCAATACTTCTAAAAGTATAGGTTCTGAAGAAAATACCTGAATTGGGGATCAATCACGTTGTTAAATACAGTTATGTTACTGACTCTAGGAGATATTATCGGATTTGAAGAAGGCATGAGTGAGCTATAGAGAGTTCAGTACATATTAGATACACTTTATGCATAAGGATTATTGACTTTTGTAGAATTAAAAGTAGAAAGAAGATATAGGGTACTAATCAAAGACTTATTTGCATACCTTTTACCCAGCTCTGGAACCTTAGCTTTGACGATGACTTTATCTAAACTGATCACTTAGTTAGACTCACTTTGCCTATAGATTTTAGCAAAAATTACCTTTCAAAATTTGGTGGGATCTCTTTCTGAATCACTATATTATATGTCAATAAACTTAGATTTAAAGGTTGTCTTAAAAATAATAAAGTCTTCTTAAATTTCTAAAGAAAAATAAAATTTTAGTGTATCTTAATTGAATAAAAATTTTAACCTTCAGGCAGGCCCAGAGAACTTAAAAAGAGCAAAAAATTAAAAAAATCAAAATCCATTTCAAAACTGTTCAGTTACTCAAAAGCCACCCCTATCACAACACACCCCAAAACCCCTTACAAATATCCAATCCCAGTTATCCCACCCCAAAACTTCCTCCCCAAAATCTTCACCTGGAAATCTCACTGCTCCTTTCTGAAGCATCTTTCTTTCATCTTTAAAACAATCATTCAAAACCTTACTCTTCAACTTAATCTTTTTCAGAGGATACACCTTAGAAGACAAATTATACCTCAAAGCCTTCGTATTCTCCAGTCGTGCTACGCCGTCAGCCAGTTGCTTACTTTGGTGCGGTAAGCTGTGGATGTCCAAAGACCGTTTATTTTGAACCAAAGTGAGAGTTTCTAGGGGTGAATTTTATGTCTGTAAAATCTTGTGTGGGAATTTTGGAGTCTACAGATTAGGGGTGGACGGACTTTTGTAGGTCTGGGATATGCTCACGAGTTTTCTGGAAGGGTAAGAGGAGAGATACCGCTGGGTTTTGGAGGGGTTTTTGGGAGATTTATTTGTAAATTGACACTTTCATTTCGGGATCTCTTGACCGTATGGATTCGCTCCTAGGGTTTGTGAGGTTAATCAGGGGTAGAAGGAAAGAATAAGGGGTTATAGTCTTACTCATAACTATCATTGGAATAATTAGAGACACTATCTGAACTTCTTTTGAGGCCTATAAACAGTAGGATTACTATAGCACTTGTAGACCAAGCCAAGAGCTATACTTGGGTGTAATTAAAGGGGTTAGATTATATTAAGAGTATTGCCAAGCAATTTTAGATATTGTGACAAATTGTTGGCAGTTCCCATTGATTGGAGATGATAAGCCTAGGCCATCATCATTAAATACTTCTTTGATTACTAAAAATGCATCGAATTTCAAACAAATCTAGTCTTGTTATATCTAATAAGACTACAATATGAATTTTGGCATCTTTAAAGTCTCAATTTTTACCTGATTTGCCATTCCTTATCCGTGCCATAGGCACTTTACTTATAACAATTGCTCTCTTGGATGTCTTATTGCCAGCTAAATCTTTTGAGTTGTTTTTATTTGTTTGAAAGATAAATTCCTGAGGGTTTGAAGTCTCTGTGATTTCTGTAGGTTCTATAACATTGCTCTGGTCTATTTTTAAGATTTTAAGATTTTTTTACACAGAAAATTAAAGAATAAATTTTTTTCTCATTCTTTTCTAAAAAAAATAGATTAATTTATTAAAGTCCTTTTAGTGAATATCTTTTAAATTAAACTGTTAGAATTTCCAAGCCAAAACCTTAGAAATTATCACATAAGTATAAACCCATACCTTCAAATAACAACGAATCAGTACGCCCTTCCTCTATCGCACCAAGTGCATCCTCTTTCCCATCCTTCTTAATCTCCTATACTTGATCTCTCTTAAATACCTCTATTCCAGAATCAATATCCTGCCTCAGTGTCGCATCGGTACCACTAAGAATTTCTAAAATTTCAGATCTCTTCTGGCCAGCGACCAGCAGGGGGTTCTGTAGAGGACTAGGTGCTAGAGTGGGTGGGCTGGTGAAGAGAGAAGTGGGAGATTGGGGGTGAGGAAGGGATGAGAGGGAGGGGTGGTCTGGAAGGAGGGGACTTTGGGGACTGGAGATTGGGTCTTTGGAGGGTGGAGATTGGGTAGGGTCCTTTTTATAGGTGGATTTGGGGGTTTGCTTCATCTGTAAGCCGATTACTGTAGTTTATAGTAAAATTTTACGGCTAAATTTAGTTGGAGAACTTGAAAGGGTTGATTTATTTGCAGATATTCTATTTGTTTGCTTCTTTCTCACACTATCTATGAAAGTTATTCATATTTATTACTGTTTTTGATAACTTTATTTTTGCCTATTCATCTCTTTTTGAGGAAGGCTGGGTTGCTTCAATGAATAATCTTGAAGGCTGTCCAATATCTTTGAGGACACTGTTAATGTTCACTCTTCAAGAAGAGAAGTGATATCCTTCTTGTAAGAGGTATCAATTTTAAAAGAAGATATATTAAACACATTTGAAGACTCGTTATGATTCTCAAAAGTACTATTCTGATATTCCTTTCTGTGTTTATATCTCATATCTGGCATCTGAACAAGCATCTTGCTTTTCCTTTGCAAGTAACGAGGGTTTTTGGGAGATGATGGTGCAAACATGCCGAGCTGAGATGACAACTTTAGAGAATTTCTCAAATCTTCCCGGTTCTATAATTTTATTGATGTGTATTAGATTTAGTTAGACCTTATTATATTGGACAAAAAGTTGATATCAAAGTTATAAGGTATGGTACTATTTGTAGAACTTACTGTGCTATTAATTTGGGGTAGCTTAGCTGGAGTCAAGTCCATCGAAATTTCATCTCTACTTCTGTACTGGATCCTCACCTGCGGTCTACTCATCTTTAACAATCAATGATATAATCATAATTTTGTTGCCCATATGGGGTTTTGGGGTTTTGGGGTTTTGGGGAGATT